TGAGTGAGTGGAAGTCTTGCAGCCGGCCGGCGAGTTCTTGCTTTTGTGCAGTTGGTGCGATCGTGTAAGTGTTGATCTCTTGCGCTGACGACGTCTGTCTCGGGGCTAGAGACAAAAAAAAGAGCCAGGGAGGGTGAAGCGAGTACATGCTGGCACAATCCAACAGTCTTCACGCCACGGCAAGCCGGAAGGACTCTTCGCTTGGCACGGCGACGAATGTAAGTGTCGCCTGCAAGCCTCGAGCCACACGTGTTGCTAGCCGGTGGTGCAGTCAGCAGACCTTTTGGAGTACACCAGCTGTATCCATGCTGGATACCGCTACCGCTGGGGCTGCTGATGCCACGAATTCAGGCGAGCTCAAGATTGCAGTCCACCCTTTGGGAGGCAAGACATGTGAAATTGATTGAAAACTTGAGACCTGCTCAGCCGCCAGTCTTTCATCTGCCTACATGAAATAGGTGGAGTACAGCTCTTAGATCACATGTACATTTTGCAACAGTCCTGGTTGTCGACATGCCTGAAGGTGGTAGGCATTCGCCTTGCTCGGCGGGCGGGTGGCAACCCTTTCGTCTCGGCCAAACGAGGAGGGTCATACCAGCTCAGTCTTGGCGGCAACTCCGTGCCCTGGCAACTAGCCGTCAGCAGAAAAGCTTCAGAGGCACATTTGCATCCGGCTCCGCCGAGCAAGGGGCTTCGAGAGAGCTCGAACCGGCCTCGCGAGGCGGTCGTGACGGCGCCGCCAAGGCCTTGGCAACTGGGCGAATCGAGGCCTATGCCGAGCTCGAGAATGCTCAAGTGGCGTGTGAATGTGAGTGTGGATTGTGTGTGTGGCGCGTCGAACCACTCGTGCCTCGGCCAAATCTGGCCTGTGGCAGGTGCTGTCGACGCCGATTAGTCCTTTCGTCTTGCCCACACGTCGCCATGCCGACGACATGCAGAGAGGAGAGGAGCAGAGTGGCGACGAAAGACACGCGCTTCGGCCGATTCCTATTGGCCATGACAATCACCCTCTCGAGGCTGCCCTCGTCCAATTGGTGCGCGCCTCAGGCGAACCGTTCTAATTCTGATTGGCCGAGACCGGTGACTAGTCGGACCGTTTGTCTCGCCGTCTGCCCCGGCCAAGTCGCCTCTCTCGGACAGACGGACTGACGCACTTTGCAGCGCGCCGTAGCGATACACTCACGAAGGCGCCCTCGCCGAAACGCCGCCGGTGCGGCACCGAGGTCCGCGAGCTGTCAGAGGATTGGGCGATTCGGCTCGCTGATTGGCTCGTCAAGCGTGCAATGCTGAAGCGCTGTTTACTCTTCAATCAATCTGTCCAGGCCGCCAATCCTCGGCCCGGAAGTCGGCACCCGAACGCCCCCACCCCTTTGCCGGGCGCAAAGTGGGCCAGCGCCTAGGTCCCCTCTTTTGACGGCACCACGACCTGTCGACTTCGGAGTCGGTGTTTC